GGCCCAACCTAGGGACACGAACCTAACGACAAATGGACGTAATTACTAGGCAGAACGCAACCCCTGGATTTTTACCAAGTTTTGTGAAAATTTTTAAAAGCGAAGCGGTTGTCTAGTTTCATGTGAGCACTATACATATTCAAATTCGTCAAGTCCATTTTAAGCGCAAGGTTCACAAGGCACACCGAAGGCCGTGGAGTTAACTGCCTTTACATTTTTTTTTATTTCCTTAAATTACTTTATTTGCTTCGTCTTTTTTTTCCCAAGTACTTTTGCGATTAACTCCGAGTGAGATGGCAGAAAAACATTCGAAACACGAACTCGGAAATAAAATTTCAAAGAGGAGAAGAACGTAGTTTATTCCAGCGTCGGCGAGAGAAACATTTTTATACCCTGCTAGTATTTTATCACCTTTGCAGCGCGGTGTCAGAATGGTCCAAGGTGAATTGCAGCTCCTTCAGAAGAGAATAAAGTTTTATATAAAATATATAGATGTAGAGGTACACATATTGCAGTAGAACCATTAAGGTATGAATGACCGGTGATAAAGAGGAAAGCGGTAGAAAAGGGAAGGTGGGCAACGGAGAGTCTCTAAAGTGTCAATCGGGCGCCTTCCTGTGTACGCGGAAAATACGTGGGCTTCATCGCTTTCGATTAAAATGGGAAAATGTGGTATATAAACCGCAATTTCAGATAAAATAGTCAGTATGTTTACAATTTTTATTTTGTTTACGAGATTGAGTTTTCTCAGCCATCTATTTTTCTTGGATGTATAACAAAATTCGAGATTGCTTAAGTCAGGGTTGAAGTAATTATGTAAATCAGAATCTTAATCACGATTTTACAGCTACAATTTAAAATTAAACTATCGTATTAAAAAATATTTTATTGTAATTTGTACATGGAAATACACGCTTAACGAAGAAAAGCTATCTTTAGGAAAGAAAGCTATACTTGAATATAATGAACGAAAAATGTGCTAAAAAACATTAAGCCTTGAATTTTACATTTACATTGCCTCCGAGATTGTCAGAGTGAAGATGGCTAAGAACCGAGTGATGAGCGGGTGTGCGGGGTCAGTCGGAGCTTGAGCACCGTGAGGACCGGTAGTAATTTCTGAGTCTTCACAAACTATATGCGTCAGTCATTTGGTGATCTCCTATATACCCGCATTGTCTTACGTGAACTTCCCGAGTCATGGTGTTTACTTTAGAAGACTGTATTGGGAAAAAAGGCGTCTGCTGTTTCTAGCTTCAAGTGTTGCGTTCGCGTATGCGTCTTTTAAAGATACTTTGTTGCCGTGGTGACGTTGACTACAGCTGACACCATGCACCCCGTGGAACGAGACGGCGGTATGGCGAGATCACGTGCGTTCTGTGTGATCAAGTGGCCTAGTGATACCACGAACCCTTAGTTATTCCAGGGCCTCGGTGACATGGCTGGAGAATGCCAAACCAAGTTTTCCGAATCGCAACTCCAGCCTCCGTTTACTCATCACAACCACTGCCCCAAGCGTTGATGCCAATAGGGCAAGAACAGCTCGGCCACATGCAAAAAGAAGGGATCACCAGGAAACTTGAAGTGCCTACACCTTGGTGTTCGGCGATGCTGGTAATATGCAAGCCTAACGGAGGAGTACCCATCTGCAAGAATTTAGCCCAGCTGAACCGGAACATTGAGCGTGTAGAGACGCAAGAATTGGCCGACCGACTGTTACGATAAGAAAAGCATTTATATTATCGCCCGTGGTCTCGCAGTCGGTCCTCGTAGCTCGAGCGCTGCGAGCCCGAGCTCTTGCGCCGGCATGGTTGTCCCGGCATGTGAATCATAGAATGCACGCTACAATAGCTCCCCCCTTTAAAAAATCCACATGGGAACATGTTCAGGGAATGTTCATGATGTCTGGGCATGTGGTAGCAGAAAACGTACGCGGGAGGATCGTGGCTGTGTCGAAGCGTCGCGTGAAGAAGCAAAGTCCTGTGAGCGTGCAAAGATAGCAGTGTTGTCAAGAGATTGGGTATATGTTTCATGTGACGATTCTTGGTAGGCTGGTTTCAAGTGGTCAATGAATACAGTTTCTTGTCGGCCATTAATATCAATCGTGAAAAGTTTATCGCCACGAGTTATGACTCGATATGGGCCATCGTAACGGTGCTGAAGTGGCCTTCGCACAGCATCGCGACGAAGAAAAACGTGTGTGCATGAATGTAGATCGGCTGAGACATAGACGGCTGACCGTTGTTGGGGGCGGCGAGGGGTAGGTCGGATGGTGCGCATTATCCGCTTCAATTTTGTCGCGTAGCTCGTAGGATCCGATGCTGGATCTTCTGGTCCGTTTGAAAAAAATTCTCCTGGAAGTCGTAAGGTTGTGCCGTAGAGCATTTCCGCAGGGCTGCAATCGGTGTCAGTCTTCAAGGCCGTGCGGAGCCCTAAACGAACAATAGGGAGTGCGGAATGCCAGTTCGGTTCTGTATCTTGGGCCCGAAGTGCGGTTTTGAGTGAGCGGTGAAATCGCTCTACCAGTCCGCTGGATATAGGGTGATATGCTGTTTTACGAATGCGCGAAGTTCCTAAGATGGTCATGAGTTCGCGGAAAAGAGTAGACTCGAACTGGCGACCTCGGTCTGTTGTAAGGTATGAAGGCACGCCGAATCTGGACACCCAGCCATTGATGAAAGCTTGGGCGAACGTTTCTGCACGGATGTCCTGGATTGGGATGGCTTCGACCCAACGTGTAAAGCGGTCAATGCAGGTGAGCAAGTAAGTATAACCATTCGATGGTGGCAGCGGTCCAACTAAATCTATATGGATCTGGTCAAGTGGAAGGTCGGGAGGAGTAAAGGAAGAGAAAGGCGAAACTGTGTGTCGACTTATCTTTGAGCGTTGGCACTGGAGGCATGCTCGGGTCCACGCCCTGGTTCATGCTAGGCCAGATAAATCTAGAAGATAAAAGTCGTCGAGTTGCGCGCATTCCAGGATGAGACAAGCAGTGGAACGAATCGAAGATTTGTTTCCGGACACTGGATGGAACGAAAGGGCGGGGAGTGCCTGTCGACATCTCACAAACAACTGTCTCGCCGTGCCTTTCTGAATGAATTTGCTCGAAGATAAGATGAGGAGCTGTAGTACGAAGTTTGCTGAGCTCTTGATCATCTGCCTGTTGTCGTGCCAAGGCTTGGTAATCAACAGATGGTGGTAGAAAAACTTGCTAAGCCATGACGATGCGAGAGAGAGCGTCTGCTACATTGGTGTCTACGCCGCTCACGTGACGAATGTCAGTGGTAAATTCGGATATGAAAGCCATATGACGAGTCTCGCGAGGGGAGTGGTTGTCATTCGCTGATGATAAAGAAAATGTAAGGGGTTTGTGATCTGTGAGTACATGAAATTCGCGGCCTTCGATGTAATGACGAAAGTGTTTTATGGCCAGGCAGATCGCCAGCAATTCTCGGCCAAAAGTGCTGTACTTCGTTTCGGACGATGTGAGCTTCTTTGAGAAAAATGCTAGGGGTTGCCATTTGCTCTTGACATATTGCTGCAATACAGCTCCTGTGGCTTCATTCGATGCGTCCACCATGACGTTAATTGGGGCGTCGGGATGTGGATGAAGCAGGATGGTAGCTGAAGTGGAGTCTTGCTTGATTTGTTTGATAGCATGGGAAGTTTGTTCTGTCCACACTAACGGTGTGGAGTCCTTTGTGTTGCCCTGCAGAAGGTCAGTTAAAGGATGAAGGGTGTGGGCACATTATGAAATAAATCGGCGGTAGAAATTAATTAGATCGAGGAATTCCCGAAGTTTGCGAATGTTCGACGGTGGAGGAAAATTGGTGATAGCTTCCACCTTCGTAAGCAAGGGAGAAATTCCTTGACTGTCAACGTGGAAGTCTAGCTCGCCGACGCCGTAAACGCACTTGCTTTTGTTAATGATGATGCCGTTGTTGACCAGTCTATCGAAAAGGATGCGAAGATGTTGCTCGTGTTGTTTTTCATTTGCGCTGAATACAAGAATTTCATCAAGGTAAGCGAAGCAAAATGTGAGGCCGCGAACTACAGTGTCGATAAATCGTTGGAATGTTTGGGCAGCGTTTTCAAGCCGAATGGCATGCGAAGATATTCGAACAGACCGAATGGGGTTGCTATAGCTGTTTTGGGAATATCTTGGGGTGCCGCGGGAACTTGATGGTACGCCTTCACGAGGTCCACTTTTGAAAATATCTTGGACCCTTGCAGTGATGCAGTAAAATCCTCAATCCGTGGCAGCGGGTACCTGTCAGGGACGGTCGCATTATTAAGAGCTCGGTAATCTCTACATGGTCGCCAGTCCCCAGCCTCTTTCTTGGAGACCATGTGTAGTGGAGACGCCCATGGACTGTTGGAGGGCCGAATAATACCGAGCTCTAACATGTGTGCGAATTCGTCTTTTGCAATCTTAAGCCGTGCTGGAGGCAAACGTCTAGGACGAGCATATACTGGCGGTCCCATGTTGACGATGTGGTGTTCAACGTCATGTTTCACCGGCGTGTCAAAGTTGTTAAGCGATGTTAGTTGTATGTAGTCTTTTAGAAGAGTTTCATGCCTTGAGGGTAGATGAAAATGAATAGCGGCTTCGATATGGGGTTTTTGGCATATGATTGCATTAACGGCTAGATTGGTGGTATTATCAAGGAGACGTTTGTTGTGCATATCCACGAGCAGATCGAAACGCCGAAGGAAATCTGCACCTAATATGGGGTACGAAACGTCTACAACTAGGAATATCCAACGGAATTTTCTTCGAAGGCCGATGTTCAGCGCCAGGGATTGTTCTCCGTAAGTCGCAATCGATGATTTATTAGCAGCTTGTAAAATGCAAGGAGTCTTCTTCCTACGTTTTGAGGGCTCAAATGACACTGGTAGAACACTCACCTCAGCCTCTGTGTCGATAAGGAAACGTAATCCTGTATTACGATCGACGATAAAAAACAGGCGACTGGTTTGTAGGTTGCCACCACTAGATGCCTCTAGTGGTGGACAAGTTCGTTTCCCGACGCCGAGCAAGGTTGGTGACATCGGCGAGCGTCGTCACCGAAAGTCCTGTGATACCAGCACAAACCTTCGTTGTTCTGGCGTTGACGCCTAGGAGAGGAAGAGTATCTTGGCCGTGAGGTTGAGCGGCTCTGGTGGAGGGCAGGAGGTCGGGAGACGAGAGCTGCTACTTGCGCTGTAAGCTCGGATATCTGCTGACGAAATTCCGTAACCACAGGAGAAGCCGGGTAGTCGCTGCCTGCGTGTTGTGGTCTCGTCGTCGCAGTCGTTTCTCCAGGCATCCTATCGATCGAAGATGCGATGGGAAGTGCGACTTCCATGATTCTGCCGGCCAGCTGAGCCAGATCGTCAAGGCTCATGGATGAGTTGGAAACGAGTACCATGCGTACGTTTGATAATAGCCGTTGAAGAAAAAGCCCCCGCAGCAGGGAGGTATCAAACGTTGGCAATCTATCACCCACCAACTGCTGCAGTCGTCGAAGAAGCTGGGAGGGCGTTCGGTCCCCGAGCTCTTCGGAAGTTATTAGTTGCTGGAGCCGTCTTTGCTCCGATGCGGATGTTCGTTTGATCAGTTCCGAGCGAAGCTTGTGAAGCGGCTGATCGTCTGGAGGTGAGAGGATTAAATCTCGAATTTCCATGGCCACCTCGGGAGGAAGAGACGCTACGACGTGATGGAATTTCGTAGCTTGGCCGGTGATCCGAGCGGTGATGAACTGTGATTCCACTTGCGCGAACCATACCAAAGGATCCGCTAGCCAAAATTTCGGAAGTCGAAACGTGACGGCGGCGACATTTGTGGAAGTGGTGTTCTCGAGAGCCATAGCGACGTATCACGTCCGGGTCACCAATTGTAGAGACACAAGAATTGGCCGACCAACTGTTACGATAAGAAAAGCATTTATAGAATCGCCCGTGGTCTCGCAGTCGGTCCTCGTAGCTCGGGCGCTGCGAGCCCGAGCTCTTGCTCCGGCATGGTTGTCCCGGCATGTGAATCATAGAATGCACGCTACAAGCGAAAGAAGCTAGTTCTGCCGTCTGTCGAAGAAGCAATGGGACGGCTGACGTGCACGTCGTGGTACTCGAAACCTGATGCTAAGTCCGGTTTCCGGCAAGTCAGGTTGGCATAGTGGTCTCAAACTCTAACCACCGTCGTTACACCTTTTGGTCGGTCTTGTTTTCAACAACTGACGCTGGGTATTTCTACTGCGGTTGAGTACTTTCACCGAAGGATGAATGAGGTCCTTGAAGAAATCTCAGGACTCTTATGTCGCATGGATGACATCCTGGTTACTGGCTCCAGGGAAAAAAAGCATGACCAAAGGTTGTAGGGGGTTCGCAAGCGACTGAAAGCAACAGGTGACAAAAGCAACAATAAATGTGAAATCAAGCAGTAGTAAATAAAGTTTGTGGAAGGTATCAAGCCAATTCCAGAAAAGGTGGCACTCATCGACAAAATGCCAGCCCCAAGGACAGCGACTGAAGTGGGGCAGTTCATTGGAATTCCAAACGAAGAGGAACATTTCATCCCCCATCTTTTCAAAAAATGAAAGCCTCTGGCTGACCTTCTCAAAATTAAAAATAAATGGACATAAAACACTCCTTAAAACACAGCATTCAAAGCAGTAAAGAAGAACATCCAGGAGGCAACAGCGCTAACATTGCAGAATCTTCAATAGGAATTGTTTTTTTAGCAGATGCATCGTCATTCGGTTTAGTCGCCGTGCAACTAAAAACGGTCAAAAAGGGAAACATCCGGCCAGTAGTATTTGACTCAAGACGACTAAGCACCACGGAGATAAAATACGCTCAGATGAAAAAAGAGGCGTATGCGGTGAATGAACAAAAAGTAAGGGCGCAAACGAGCTGGTGTACATTCACCGTATGCGGTGAACATGGTTAAAATTTCGCAGAAATAAAAAGGAACAGAGGAGAGAGAAAAGACAAGCGCATGTTGAATCATTACCAACTCGTCCAAATAACCACCTTACTACGTGTGCGGAAACATGGACATGTGAAAGGTTTAAGAAGTTTCTGCTGAGGACACAGTTTCACATCCAGACTCTCCAACGTCCACTAGTACGATTTCTCCAATCCAAAAATCTGGGATGCGATTCCAGCCAGGACTCAACGGTTGAAGCAGCGTTGATAAAATTCAGGTAAACAATTTCGCACGTGCCTGGCAAGCAACTCTAGACAGCTGACGCCCTGTCTAGGTCGCGTGTAGAACCACCAGACATGGAAGAAGAAACAGAAGCATACGGGCAAGTGGTTCTTCTGCCTCGCACGAGTGCCTGAACGAGGTAAAGACGATTCAAGATGAAGATCCAGTGTGTACCCATGTGAAGGAGTTCTGCAAAAATCGATGGCCAACTAGCAAGGACCAAGTATGTGCCCATCGTAACCAGCCCTTATTTTCAAAAACGGCACTGCCTCACCGTAAAAAAAAGACCTGCCTGTGAGAGGCAACCGCCTTGTAATTCTAATCCCGATGAAGAAAGAGGTCCTACGTTGACCTCATGAAGGCCACCAGGGTACCTGAAGATGTCAAGAAAGAGCCAAGATTGTTTTTTTTTTTTTTTGCACACAAGCTCCCTGGAGAACAGGGCGATAAGCAGACACATATATCTCCCCGAAGCTGCGCAATCACCCTAAACATTGCATCACATAGCAGGTGGAAACAAAAAACACAACTAATACATATAAAAAAGAAGCTGGCTGACACCAACAGCGCAACATTTATTATAAGGTTCACACATAAAGGAAACTACACGTCATATTTATGCAGTGGCAAGCACAAAGAAAAAGTGTGGTGGCCAGGACTAAGCTCTCAGCTGGCTTATGTGACAAACTGCGTGAATTGTGCGCGTGAGCGCATACCAGAATCCCTACCAGTAATCGCATCTGAACATCCAAAGTTACCTGGATGTTCAGATGAGATTCACTCCTAAATTTAGGAGTGAATGTTTTCTGCTAAATTTACCGGGAAATGTTTCCGCTAAACTTATAGGAAATATGTTCCGCTAAAGTTAGCGGGGTACTTTTTTTGCTAAATTTTACAAGTAAATTTTCCCTTTATGTATATCCGGGAAAGTATTCCGCTAAATTTAGCGGGGAAATTTTTCCGAACTTTTTCTTGCTAAATTTAGTGAAGAAATATTTCCGCTCAATTTAGTGAGAAACATTTCCCGCTAAATTTAGCGGGGAATTTTTCCGCCGAATTTAGGTGCCGTGGGACGCACGTCACGAAGGTGACGTCACACGTGGCATCACTCCTGACCTTTGTGATGTCACTCGTGACGCCAGGCGTGACGTTATTATGTGAAATGTAGCATAATGAAACGTGCGGTTACACCGACGGCGACGCCGACTGCGACGGTGCTGAAGCCGGAAACGGGCGTTTAAGAGCTGCGCTCTAAAACTTGGCAGATATAGATAAGACAAAGCTTTGAGTATCAGGAAAAGTAAATGTATGAGAACAAAATGACTGCTGGGGTTGTTTTAAAAAGGATACAAGCCGCTTCACAAGGTTAGAAAAAGGTGTTCCATAAGCTTGTATTTACCAGTCATATAATATATATATATATATATCCCTCAGCAGAACTGGCCCAGGAACCAAGAAAAAACATTGCACATTAAAAGTACTGCCATGGGGTTTCCAATGTAAGTATGACATAATGAATAGATCATTAAGAAAAAGACATTTGCGAGAATAACTGACCCACAAACCCTGTAAACATTGCACAATAAAGTGACTGTCACTGGTTTTCTGAGGTATGCATGATATGATATATAAATGTAAAATGGCACCTGCCAGCATAACTGGCTCACAGATTTGTGACGGCCTGAAGCTAAGCCGGTTGGTTTGACATGCTTTTTTGAATACCAGCTGGTATTCAAGAAAGAATGGTGCAGTGACACTGAAACACAATGCACACTGAAAGTAACTGGCACTGGCTTTCTGAAGTAGGCATGACATAATGAATAAAATAGCTGTATAAATGGCATCCACAAGCACAACCGGAGGAGAAACACAGAAACAAATTGCACATTAAAAATTACTGCCACTGGCTTTCTGAGGTAGGCACGATAGAATAAGTTATATATTTAAAATAATCACATCAACCAACGCAAGAGGCACGCAAACACTAAAAAAATTGCACATTAAAAGTGACTGTCGCTTGCTTTCTGAGTAAGGCTTCCCTCGAGAGGTCTCGTACCTGGTCTGGCCCAGGCACTATTGCCTGCCGCAAATAGCATGTTGCCGCGCGATCGCTACCCACCTTTCTGGAACTTCAAAAAAGTTCGCTGCGCGCGCGTCGCGCAGGATTGCAACGCTATCACAGTAGCCTTCTCTAGAGCGGCTACCACATTTACGGTTTGCCCGCCGACCCTCTACGACGAGTGCGAGAAGATTTTTTTTTTGTTAAGGTTGGTCATCCCGTGCGGTTGGTACGTGTTCCCAAGTCTGGGTAAACGGAATGAGCTGATTCGGACATACACAATTTCAAACAAAGAGTATTAATATTTACTTGTAAAAAAATCGAGGTTTGGCGAATGAGCAATGATTGCACAACAAGGCCAAGTTTCCAACCCAGAACTACACAATATGGAAATTCGAACAGACAGCGCGCTACAATAGTACTAAGGTTTTAAAAAGGACATTGGATAATTCAATGAAAGAAGAAAACAAAGAACGGGAGAACAAATAGAATAGAACGTAAATTTTACGTCATGATGGCGCTTAGGACGAGGACAAAAGGGAGACTAGACAACACGGAGTGCTACTTTAACTGTTTATTTTTGAAAAAAAAGGGAGTGGACATATATACACTCAAACCGCTTCACCTCAGCCAATCCTCAGGCCTCACGGTCGCTCGCCAAAACGCCATCTCTTTGTCTAAGAGGTCAATGGGGGCAACACTGACACATTGTGCTCCAGACTGTTTTATCAAGTCTGCTTCCATTATTTCCCTGACCGTCTTATCCTTGTGTCTGGCTAGTATCGCGCATCTGTTGAACAAGGGCCTGCATCCACAATCGTGACAATGAACTGAAAGATGACCGCCACGGTGGTTATTAACATTTAAATTGGGCTCTCGTAACCTATCATTTAGGTATCTGCCCGTTTGCACGATGTACTTTTTACCTCACGACAACTGAATCACGTACACGACTCCCTCTGCACAACCGACAAACGGGTTTCTATTCTTCTTGCCACAGCACAGGAGGCCTCTTCTTCTCGGACGTCAAGTCCGAGAAGGGTAAAGAGCAGGCCTCACTCAAGTTGAAGTCGAAGGGGCATCGTCGTGATCTCCGCGGCGGTAGTCCAACAGGAAGACGATGGTTGCGAGTCCGGCGATGAAGAAGCCTCAAGTATGGCGTGGCCTGGCGGCCGTTTTCCGCGGATCACCCAAGCAACCAAAAACGTCATTTTCACTTCCCGGCCTAAAAGCTCTGTCCGCCCGCCCTCCGAAAACTGCCCCTCTGTCCCACGTCGCATTCCCCGCCTCGCCGGTGCCGAGAGCGCTCCCTTCCCCGGGGGGCGAAAAAAACCGGGATTCGTCGTCCCGTGGGAGGTCGCATCATGGGAGGCCCACGCAGAACAAAAAGTGGTGGAGCACCACCGGCG